ACGCGCCATGTCCCGCCCCGACCGCCGCCTGCGTCTTGGACAAGACGACGATGGCCAGCTACCAGCGCTCTGATCGACTCTGCGCCTCGCCGGCCCTCTATCGCGGACTCGTGCAATCGTAGCCTATCATTCCTCCAAGAAATGCGTCCCACAGCGCTCGTCGCGAGCCATCTGATGCGGCCCAAGCGCCTGCCGGCCCCTCGCGCCCGTACAGCTCCTTACTCTCACTTGCGTCTGAGTCTTCCTTTCAACATCACCAGCAGCCACGTGCTTGCCCCACACCCTATTCCTATAAGACCGAGGTCGCCCATTATAGGTGTCTTATCACCGTTGTCATGGCCAACAGGCCTTATCGTTTGAGCGTCTCTCAGGCCAACGCCATCGATGCCATCCTTACTTTGGAGTTCGTCCCCGTCATCGTCGCATCAGACCCCACCTTTGTTATTGGCTATTCGGCTGTCCGTGGCTGGGCCCGCGAGCGCCAGCAGGAGTTACTCGCGCATCCCCTTTTTGAGACCCACACGGACAGAGAAAGACAGCTTCTCGCGATGGTGTGTAACGACGGCCCTCTTTCACTAATTATGCACCCTAATGAAGATATCGTTAGGCTCTCGACAGAAGATTTCGAAACTTCTATCGCAACCGGCAGCACGGTCATATACCCCCTGCGCCAGTAGCAGACGAGGATGGCCCTCAGGTCTAAGCTCACTTAGAGCAGGTCGCATTGTACGTTTCTACTGCTACCCATTTCCGCGTGTGTCTCATGCGCGTTGGCTATGTCAGGCACTCGATCCCACAGATGTACTCCCCACAGATGTGAAAGCTGGAAGAGGTTGTGAATCCCGTTCGTCGACCGCCGCCTCGCCATAACATATTGTGAATGAGCCGATATGCTAGATTCCTGCATTTAGATAATGCGATTTCATTGTCCGTTGTTACCTCCTGCACCCTTTCGTTCGCAAGCAGCACCATCCATTCGCGTCATGTTCGTTAGCGTCTACAGCCAATGTCTTTTTCAGGCGCCTATGAACTAGACAGCCACTTTGTGCTTCAAGCTCTTACCGTGCCCCACCACGGCGCAGCCGATGCGAGAAATCTCAATGCCGCGTCCGGCTCACACTCTGACCGGTGGTAACAGCTTAGATCGGCAGTAGATGCGCATCGTTCGCGCCGGCGATTATAGCCGCTATCGGAGGTGTGGGTACTCTGCGAACTCAGGGGGGATCTTGCTCTCGGCTGAGATGCCCACACAGCCTGGCGAATGCCGGCGGCGAGAGGGTCGTGAGTGGCAGATCATTGTATGCCACAGTGCCATCTCTTTTGAGCGCCGATGCGAGCGCATGCTCTTAGGGATACGTTGCGCAGACGGAAAGGCTAAAGGGAAATCGGAGAAGCATGGATCCCTGTGTGCTGCAGCAGAGTCTGTGTCTGCGATCCTTCTCCTTAATAAGGAGACTTCCCTTCCTGCTGATGAACCGGTTCCCTCGCTATGTCTCCCTCCAAGGGCGTTCTCCGCGCCAACCTCCTCAAATCTATTCAGGAAGATCATCGCCGGGAGCTCAAGTCTCGTGCAGGGCCCGTCGACAATGATCTTGTGGCCTATCGGCGCCGTCGCTGTCGACACCTTGGCCATTACCTACGAAAGGATATACAATGCTTTACCGACACGCCTGACGATGGTCGCTGGTTTGTCGAGGTATGTCTTCATGTAGCTGTCGCTCGCCGTCAGCAGCTCACCACATACGACACTAGTGTCTTCTCCCTCATCCAGGCGACGTCACTGGCGATGGTGGCGTGCACATCTACGTTTCCCGACGCCTCGACCCAGAGGTGTTACAGGAACTGCGTGATCATGTGTTTGCGCGTCGTCTACAAGCCCAACAGCTGTTGCCTACCGAATCCCGGTCCGAACCTAGCGTCCGGGTGTGTCCATTGATTGCCCAAGAGCATTTACAAGGAACTGAGTTCGGCTTGTAGTCACAGAGTCCTGGTCGAGATACCCTTGTGCATAGATCTGGACGAGCGCCGCGCATGCTGGGTTCACCAAGACGGCCTTACCCAACAAGCGCTAGCCCCTCGCCCCGCACTTTCTGCAGTGTACTCGTTGCGCCGAGCGGGCACTCCTCACCCGACGTGCCCAGGCGCTCTTCCCCAAAGACTGCATATATCGAGATCAGCGATTCGGAATCAGACACGACCTCTCGACATGTTTTGGGGAGAAGGTCCAGAAGCCCCAGTCTGGAAATCCTGACCGCACCGTCGTTATACGCACCATCATTCACCGTCTGGCTGTTCATGGAGGTATGTACTACATCTCCTCGCCCACTTCTGCCAAGATCACTCATCACCATTCCTCACTATGCGCAGCAAGATGCCCCCCCGCAGGCCATCGATCTTAAGATACTCTCTGGCGCCGAGGAGATACTCCTCCGGGATTACGATCAGCAGTGGGAGAAGGTGGGGCTGAAGGTCTCTGAACGAGTTAAGATCCTCGCGGCGTACAGCCAGAAGGAGCCTCTATGGCAGTTTGGCCGTCTCTGCGACATACGTATTCCTGTCAGGGCGCGCGCCATCGTACTTGCGCACGTCAACATAGACCACTATCACGCGCTCTTGCGGACGCTCTTCCGACACGCTTTCACCGGAGGGTGTACGTCCAACTTTCCATCATACTGGCCGATTCTTGATTGACGCGACCGCAATGGCAGTCTCGCACGGGATGGCATAGATGATTCGAGGGAATGGGGCCATTCCATTGATCGCGGCGGTCGAATCAAGGTAGTTCACTGCCTCTCGGCATTCAGCCGCTTCCGCCGAGGGAGAACGAGCTCGTCGCTCTTCTCTGTGGCGAAGTGTAGTGTAGATTCTGCGCGCGAAGTGTACGCTATACTTGTTAGTGCACATACGTCGAGTATTGAGTCATGCGTCTCAACCGAACGCACGAATACTCTACGAAAGACGTGGCATTCCCACGGATGTTCGCCCACGATTGCGGCTACTTCGTGCTTCCAACCACGACCACGGAGTATGGAGGCCTGAGGCTCAAGCTTGGTTTGACCGGAGGACACTATTACTGGTCACCGAGTCTCAATCAGCCGTTGCGGTGCACATGCCCGCCGATGGTCATCAAATGTCTAATTCAACTTTCATGCTACCGACTGTTGACCGACTGTGAACTTCGGCTCAAGGAGCGCGCTACCACCATCACCCTCAGCGCGCTACCACCATCACCCTCAGCGCGCTACCACCATCACCCTCAACGCGCCACTGGATGACCCTAAGGGGTACCGTCGATGTTCAATGTGATAAAGACAACGATGCGCGTTTCAGATTCGGAACGTTATTCCGTGCGTACTTCGACTATGCAGCCGGCATTGCAAATTCCTGAATGCCAAACTACAGGTATGCTCGGATGGTGGGTTGCAGCCTGTTGCAGCGGACATGACAGAATCTTCGACGATAGGACGCACCCGTGCCTCCAGCGGATTGGTGTACATATACGAAGAGTCTCTGCGTCCACGAACAGGTGTCGATTCAAGTCAGAGGAGATGCGCCGCGCCAAGAACCTACCAGTCAGATCCACCAATGCCAGTTGTCCTACAGGACAGTCAAGAACCGTTCTGCGCGCCTGTCCGGCGTTGCCAGGCAGCAAGCTTCGCTCATATCACCGGCGGTCCGTTCTGCGAAGCGATGTGCGCCCAAAATACTGCGGCGGCACGATTCTTCGCATGCGCGCGCACCGGAACCGATCGCATCTGGCTGGTCTCGCTAAGTGCTGAAGGTGTTCGCTGCACAGCGCCTCATAGCGGTCTGGGCTCCTACTGATGGTGCCATGGTGCTCCGGCATTAGTACTCCTGGAAGCATTGTAGCCGTTGCTGAGCCGGTTCTCGCGGATACTTCAAGTGAGCGAGTGGCTTAGTTCCATCGCTTCCCTAGGGAGCTACCTCGTTGTACAACACACACACCGTCTCTGACTGGAGGAAATGCAGGGCTCGAGATACTCCAGATCCTCCACGGACCCCAAGATGGTTCCAGCAGCGACACGTCACTGGGATCCCTTCATACCTTGCGCCATCGACGTCGTTCAAGAACTACAGGAGGCAGTCGACGAAGACTTCGAACCGGTACTCTTGCCTCTGCGAGCGATGGCTTTGTCAAGAAGCCTAGCGCCTTCGATCGGACAAGTCCCGCTACCCTACCGTGAACTGTTACACGTCAAGGTGAATGCGGTTCTCTGGCTTCTCGCGGAACTGGTAGAGCGAGTCATCGAGGTGAGCGTGGACCGAGCCTTATGCGAGTAACGCGCACTGATCAGCGTTTGCTAGCATCGCTATGTTTGGTTGAGGACGATCAGCGTCGTATACGGCCTCTACATCGCCAGGGCAAATGATGCTGTGGGATTACGAGGACAGTTACAACACCGTCCAGAGCGCGCATCACATTTTGCAAGCTACCTCAAACCGGTCAATTGCGCTGCGCGGATCATATCTGACACCAGAAATCGATCGCTAGCAGCTGGACGCGAGGAAGTTTGGCAATTTACAAGACACCAATTATATCATATCTTCACGCACTGCATGTACGTCTTTCGTCGAGGTTGACCTTCAAGACACCCTAATTTATGTCTAGAGCGAGCGGTCAGCCGACTGGGCAGTTTTATCGTCAGCTGCGCTGTCTCGACTCAGCTAGTTACCTCATCCTGCTTCACGAAGAGCTTGTACTTTCGCGGCATGACCCGACGAACTTGGAGCCCATATCCTTGCTCGACATAGCTGAACAGATATCGCGTCCAAACGACGGAATGCGAGCACAGATCCTATACTCCGAGAGACTACTGAACGGCCGCGCTGAATCTTCGTCGGTTGTCGCGAGTCTCTCTCCCGAGCAACTGCACGCACTCCGACCGGCATACTGGATTTGGCCGAGCCTTCGGACAGCGTGCTCCCGGTGCCTTATCGACCTTCGTCCTGCGCAAACTCATCGGCGGTGCGCAGCTTGCAAACGCACAGCATATTGCAGCACAATATGTCAGAAACGGTGAGCACTCTGAACATTGCTGCGAGAAGGGCATTCTCTGAAGCGAGACCTGGCAGAGATTGGAAGACGGGACATCAGAAAACATGTCCATTATTCAAGCTTGTTGATGGGCGTCTGTCGTTACCGGATGTAAAGGCCTCCATTTCTTCTCTCCCGCGAGGTATACCAACTAGTCATTTTGTGAAGCATGTGTAAAATGCCATCCGCGATTGCCTACTTCGGTCATGTGTGAGGCGATGTGGTCTAGTCCGTCGACGCTCATTTCGGCTGTCAGAGCAAGCACTAAACGATAGGCATAGTACGGTGGTATGTTGATGAGGGCGCGCTGACGAAGCAGGTGGTCGTAGGGAGCGAGCACTCCGGGATAAGAGCTAGACATGACCATGGACAGCTCAGAGCGGGCTGCGAGTTTGTCGCACAGTGACTAGTTGCAAGCTTGTTTATCCATACATCGGGCTCATTGAGGGCTGGGGCATATGGAACTATGAAGGTGACATGGCGAGCATAGATGGGGGAACCGCAGAAGTTGATAGCCAGCTAGTGCGACATGAGTCTGCCTACGGGAGACTAGACAACACCGACTTGGTGGCTAGATTGTGCATGGTGCCCGCGGTCAACTAGAAAGCCTCGCACAAGCGGGCGAGCCTGTGGTACCTCCATCAACACTCTACTTACAGTAGAATTGATGTTTAACTTCCGCTATTCGCCGGGTCTGCTACAGCATCGTCACGATTTGGTACAGGGAGTACTGTATGATAGATGCATCGTGTTTGCGTGAGAAGAAGACGGCTTGTCCCGAAGCCGCCCGCGCGCAAGTCCGTCTTGACGGTCATGACCGACATCACGGTTAGGCAGACCAGTGCATGCGCTACCTTTAATAAGACTCGCGCCAAAATTTTTCCCGAAAAATTGGGAGTATGCATACGATGCTCGCAGGCGCGCCCAAAGGAATGCCAATTCTACAGTGAGGCTGTGGAGTATTAGAGTCTATGGAACCTGAATTCGGCCTGCTGACTATCTCGCCGTTCTTCTAGGAGCCGATAAGAAGGGAAATGTGCTCGAACAGCGCACCTTTAAGGTATCCCCGCGACCTCCGCATCGCCTGCTGGACATTCGTCTGCAGGGTTACCATCGCAAAGTGAAAATCAAGTTCAAGACGGCTTCACCAAACTCGACCCTAGAATCGTTCGAAGAGTGCTTGGTAAGGTGGACTGCATTACACGACCCATATAGCACTGATATTCGCTTACAGGGCCAATGTGCCGGAGAGATTATAACATGTCTGGAGGAGCATAGTCAGGTACGGGAAGAATGCCCGGCTTCAGTTCCTTGGGCGCCGCGTCTGGATGGCTCTCGGTCTACCTGTGGTACTTCATATCGTGCATCCCGCTATCTTACGTGCTCATACCGCAACATTGTAGATATATGCAGGGCATCTCTATTTTGCGGCGTCCGGATGTGCAAGTTCTGTGGGCAGGAGGTTTGCGCGAGATGTGTGCGCGAGGGGCGGGTCCGTGTCTCATGTGCATTTTGAGAGGCGTTGCTGACGCAGACACAGCTTCCCACTCTGCCATGTGCAAAAGGACGTGCGGATCCCTGTCACGATCTCATCTTACTCGAGGTTTTCGAAGTTGGCGAGGCTGAGGAGGCTCTAGAATCTCTACGGAAGACCCAGCAGCGGTGCGTGCCCTCGCCTAGAACTGCATGCATTCTCTGACTACTGGCATTAGATCCCCACCCTGTCCTTTGACTTTACCCAGGGAGCCGCTTCGGGTGAATCTTCTGGACGACTCCGATTCGATCACGTACTCGAAATTGTATCAAGCTCTTGCGCAAGGCATACCGTTGATAGTCTCGGGCATTCGGCCCGGGAGTCGCAACCTCACACCGCAATACTTCATTCACAACCACGGCGACACTCCGGTCATGCTAACGAACACGAAAACGGGCTCAAAGCGAAAGGTGGCGCTGAAACTTTTCATGGAAGATTTCGTATCCCCCTCCGACTCAGCAAACCCGGAAAAACTTCAGGTGAGATGCTTTTTGTTCCGGCACTCGTTGGCATTGTGGCGGTGCTACTAAACCTACCGGCCAGGATTGGCCCCCGACAGCAGATTTTGCGGTGAAGTATCCGGAGATCTTTGAACTTTTCGAGGATTGTCTCGTAGGGCCCTGGATCACGTCGAGAAGAGGGCCTCTCAACCTCGAGAACAACATGCCGGCGGACTCTTGCCCACCGGATACAGGTACTGGTCCTATTCTGGCAGTCATTGCGCCGCGCTGAGTATAAATTAGGCCCCAAAGCCTACCTTGCGCACGGTGCGGCAGGTGGTACCACCACCCGTTTGCACACAGACATGACAGATGCTGTTAATATACAATTTCATGCGGAGGGTGGGCCGGAAGGCGGTGCATTATGGACGATGATTGATCGCGATGACATGAGTCGCGCTGCTGAGCTATTGAGACAATCTAAGCGCGGTCTTTTCGGCGAAGGTCATCCAATCCACTCTCAGCAGCTCAATCTCACCGATAAGGACGTTCAAGATTTGAGGGACGGTGAAGTGCGTGTTTGGACATTCCCTCAGCGACAAGGAGAAGCGGTATTTATACCAGCCGGTGTCGGTCACCAAGTGATAGTTTTTACATCCCGAAGTCGACGATAGGCTAAACCGTATGCAGGTTACCAACTGGACTTCGTGCATCAAAATCGCTGTCGACTTTCCACTTCCGGCCAATGTGGGGTATTCAAGACGGATCAGCGAAGAGCTTCGGCAACACCGTTTGGATTGTGGAGATACGGACGCCGAGGACGTACTCCAACTTTCTGCGATGTGCTGGTGGACGTACAAGCGTTGGAAGATCGAGAACCTCGCTGACACGCGCTCGGACCCCAACTCCAACCCCTGGTACTCGACATATTCTGCCGCCCCCGCATACATGCCCGTGCCACTTGTTATTCCCAACCGTCAGTCTTCATCATCTCCAAAGGAACCCGTGCCACTTGTCAGTCCCAACCATCAATCTTCACCATCTCCAAATGAACCCGTGCCACTTGTTAGTCCCAACCGTCAGTCTTCACCATTTCCAAATGAAATGTATATTCATATTCTTCAGATCGTGCTGCTTCTCCCCCTGGTATCGAGGACGAGAATTCATCGAGCTTTCAGGCCATCCCTATCTGCAACTCGGGCGTCGCTGACAAGCTTCTGGGAGATGCATCGTCCACCATCCCCCAAAAGGAACTTTCCAGCCATCCGGACGTTGAAGATTCGCCCTCCGAAGTGTCACTGATTCCTTCCAAGAGACAGAAGCCGGAGGGGCAATTGACGAGGACGCAGAAGCGACGTCTAAAGAAAGCGAGATCGATACATAATAGATCGTTGGCAGACGAGGGGAAGATATTGAATTGCCCTCTCGGTGGGTGCACGCGCAGCGCGGACGAGTTCGATCGGTGGTCTCTCCTCAATCATCTGTGCGCACAGAACCTGTTACGCTTCGCCTGCTAGAACTGACTTGTGGATCAGAGAGAGCGTACATCATCTACGTGTTCGCTTCCTCCACCTCGGTCAGTCGGGCGCCGAGACGGTGGAGAAGCGCAGAAAGATACTCGAAATGCATCCAAACGACGACATGGCCTTCAAACAGTACATCCAAAATGAGGTACTGAACATGGGGGAGGGATAAGGTGAGATGTGCTGGTGGCGAACACGCCTAGTAGAATCCGTTCGGGCTCGGAACGTGTGTAGCCTTACGGGGACTTAATGTCATAGCGTTTCAGTAATCGGCCGGTGCACCTATTCGAGTACATCTACTACCCAATGACTCATAATACACTTCACGCTGTGGCATTTGCAACCACGTCCCGCTTCGTATTCACATTGCGTATTAGTGGCCATTTAATCACCACGTCTCTTGCACCGTAACGCCTAACGTGCAACAGTCTCACCGGTTCCATACCATCCGCATTAACATACATGCGTCATCCGAGCTGCCGAAGACCAGGTTCTGGACAGAGAATGTACGTGGCTCACAACTGATAGGATCGCCTTCACTCGAAGGTCCTGAAAAGCGTTCAGCGCCGGGTGGGGTCAAGCTGGCGGGAGGGGTTCTGGGGTGCTCTGCTGTCGATCGCTCGATCTTTGAAGACGGTATGGCGCGCCGATAACACGGTGCACCTGACTTGGGCCCAACGCGCGTATACACACGCGTGAAGTCTGACCACAAGCGCGTTCGAGTCGCGTCGTGCGCAGAGATGCCATGCGTGCGAAGATAAAGACGCCCCACGCTTCGGGCACGACCTCAGCGACGAGTTCAGTGAAGACGCGACATGCTTCCGACCACCATCATCCCTCCCGACCAACATCATCCCGGCATGGTGCACCCGCCTTTCTACCTCCCCATTGCGCCTCTCCTTCTGTCTCGTCCCATGGCTAAGACCGACTT